CAGCAATCAATGCAGGATGAAAAAAGGGAATCTTGTAAAGTGTTCTGAGCCTGGAAGATGATCAAAAGCAGGAAGAACAGGGCCTGTTTGAATCTCAGGGATATCTTCCCTGGGGCTTTGGGGCTCACACGAGGTTTTGATACAAGAGGAAAGATTACATAGTGCTTCAGAGCACAGGATGGGGAATCAGATCAGCCTAGGAGCACATCCCAGCCTCACTGCTTACTCTCTTGATTTTTCTGAGCCGTACTTTCTCATCTGTAAAATGGGGACAATCTCTGAACCGACCTTGAGGGTGGAGGTGAGAGAAAGCGTTATCCAGCTGCTGGCGGACGCTGCGCCCTCTCCGAGCGGCTGTCACCATGAAGACCAGCCCTGAGATAGCCCAGAGCGCCAGGCCTGCTGGAGGGGGCCCAGGCAGAGGCACAGCCAGGGGCGGCCGCCCCAGTCAGGACACAGAGCCCGGAACCTCAGACTGCAGACCTGGCCCAGCCCACGTCCCTGCAACAGACCCCGGGTCAGAACACAGAGAGACGCAGGACCGGCCAGACATAATGCAACATAGCAGAGGAGCCAGGATATTTTCAAGTCCAAAGTGTCTTCCAGGAGGACGGCCTTTTATTTGGGTAAATCTGGGGGCTGTGTATCAGCTTAAATTCATTATCTGCACATATGGTCTTCGTACTCTGGTTCAGGGTGGGAGACAAAGGGTGGAAGAGAAAGGATGGGCAAATACGAGCTGATGAAATATCATCCCTCAAGTGCCAGAAACTGGGATATTTTCAGTGACGTCAAATTGGGCTTCCTGCCACGAGGATAGGGCTATCGTGAGAATACTCACAAGATTTTAACTCAGAAGTCCTCAGGGAAGCAGGGGAAGAAAAGAAGAAAACAAAAGCAATTTACTTTATGTACCCCTGTCTTCCCCAAAGCGCGCACACACACATACACACACACGCTGTGCCCCAGAACATCAGAGCTGGAAAGGATCAAAGCCAATCCCCCATTTCCCAGTAATAATAATAATAATGACAATGATAATGACTATCTACTGAGCACTTACCATGTGCCAGACACTGTGCTAAGTGTTTTATACGATTCACCTCACTGCCTACTCAGCACAATCTGATGAGGTATTATTAGTCCCACTTTACACATCAGGAAACTGAGAAACGAGAGGTTGAGTAGCCTAGGGTTGCAGACCTTATAACTAGGAGAAAGCCAACATTCAAACGCAGGCAGCCTGACCACCACGCAGTGCCACCTCTACGGAAATAGGGAAACCGAAGCTCCGAGAGGCGCGGTGACTCACTCGAGGTCGCCCAGCTCCGTTGGTAACAGAATTAGGGCTAGGACCCAAGTCTTCCTAACTCCTGGTTCGGTGTCCTTTCCACTCCATCCTGTTGCCTCTCAGGGTTTACACACACACACACAACAGCGAACATGTTTCTGCTCATCTCCAAGTTGTTTGAGCCGCTAATTAAAGCAGCAGTCTGAGGTGCAGACAAGGGGTAAGCGTTGGACCTTAAGATAAGAGCCAAGATCAAAGACCTGCTCTGCCAGTTGCAAACACCGGGGGCTCATCATCTCACCCTCTCTTATTTTAATAAGTGTTTTCATTATCTGCTCCCCCTCCCTTGATCAGAGTGCTGATGCGGGTCCAAGGTGCCAGCCTGTGCGGCAGGAGGAGCCCAAGCTGGCAGGTTTGCTCAATGGCATCAGGTTGCAGAAATACCCGCTCAACCCATCATCTGCTCCTGGGGGGAAGGGGGGTTGCCAAAGTGCTGGTTTCCAAGGCCCCTCCCTTTGCTGTGTCCCAGCTGAGCATGAACAAATGTTCCTGATTTTCTTCTCAGCGGCTGATGAAATAGGCCAGAAGAGCAGCTCTCTGGAAAGAGGGGTCCCTAAAAGGGACAGGCCAGCCACCAACATTCACTACTACTACCAAGGAAGAGGAGAGAGTGAGCGCCTGACAAGCATCGGGGAAAAGCAGCCGGTGAGCCCTCCGATAGGTACGGGGCTCCCAGCAGGCGCCGCAGGAGCCCCTCTACCGAAAACTGAGAGAGGCCGGGAGCCTGGTTCACTTTGCAGTGTAGGGCGGGGCAGGGCGGGGCAAGACAGGCTGGAGAGGTACCCGCCACTGGCCTGGAGGCACAGCAGGGCTGCCTAGCACCCTAAAAGGTTAGACTTGTCTGACTTTAAATTCCAAGCCCTCTCAGACCTCCTGGGCCAGCACCCTCATTTCACAGGCTGGGAAAGCAGGTTCAAGAATGAGTGGGGAAGTGACTTACCCAAGGTCACACTGTTGATCCCGAAGAGGTGGCTTCTGAATATGCCACCTCTTCGGGATCAACACCTGAATATGTTTCCTCCCTTCCTGACCCCTTCTACAAATCCCTGCCATAAACTCTTGCTCTGATTGATACCCCCTGGAGCACCCTGTCCTCCAACCCACCCCTCAGACCACCAAAACCTCTCATTCAGTAACTCACGGAGCTATTTCCAGGCTCACATGGAGTATTTTATAGGGCAGGGAGGTACTTTTTAGATCAATCCAAGGTGTCCTAACTGCTGCTAGAAAGTGCCCTGGAACTTTGGATGATGCACTGCCATTTCAACCACAGGTTGCGTAAAGATACTGTCAAGGATCAGGCATTTGAATGTATTTGGGGACAGGGCAACAAGGACACAGAGTGACCAAGACTTGACACTTTCCTGAATCAGAGATCTCGGAGTTTGCCCCAGAGCAGTGATATGCTAAGTCCAAACGGGGATGTCAGCAGCCCTGGGGTCTCAGTTCCCTCTCCTCCTCAGGGCACGTGGGAAGGGGGGCAGTGCAGAGAGAACGGGGTGGAACGCAGCAGTGGCCAGCCCTCTGGGACCCTGTACTCGCATCCAGGTTCCAAGGGCAGGGCTGGCTGTTCCAGGCAGGCTTCCCTCCTCAGAAAAACAAGAGTCACTAAAAACAAAACAAAACGGGGGAAAAAAACCAACCCTTTTGTTTTCTGGCCCCACAGAATGTCTTGAAGACACATCCAGAGACAGGGCCCCTCCACCCTTTCCTCTGTCTCTCTGCTTCTCCTCTCCTTCTACTCAAAATAAAAATCGCGCTGATCTTTCTTTATGGCCCGTCTGTCCTACAGCATGTTGCTAGCATCCGACAAAAACATTGGGTGGGCTACATGGAAAGCACGAACCTCAACTCTCATTCAGTCCGCTTCCCCCTCCCCATTTCCATCGCCTGTGCAGGGGATGCAGGGGACACAGGAGGGAGGCTGCCCAATGTGCACAGTTTCAAGCCAAGAGAAAGCTGAAAGCTCCCACCATCTTTGATTTGTCCGTTCGTACTAACTCGGGATGCAGGGAGGAGGGAGGGAATTAGAGAGGAAGACGAGGCCACAGTCCCTTCAGTGTCCCTTCAATGTAGAACAGCCCCTCACATGACAAAGCAGACACTCTTCACAGATGCCAGCAGCCACTTTGCTTCCCAAGGCCTCAGCAGGGACACACAGACTCAACACACAGGGTCCCTGAGATAGGACAAGAGCACACATAACAGGTTTCCACCAATAACTGGCAAATGACCAGATGAATGTGGCCTGTAGACCACAGACTGGGCGACAGGGGTCTCTTCCGGACTCCTGAGAAATGACCACTTGGGTCTCGACTGCTCGCTCAAGTCTTTAAGGTCCCCCATCTTTCCGCCCTGTGCCGCCCCCTTTGTCTGTGACCCGGGGGAGTGTGGATAGGCAGAGACAGGATATGCCAGAGGACCCTCACCCACCCACAAGCAGGTAGGGGCCTGGCCAGACTCAGGGAACAAAGGTACAACTTCTTCAGAGAGGGTGCATTTAGGGGTTCGGGTTTCTCTCTCCAAAGAAACCTCAAAAAGTTAATTCTCTCATTCATTTTCTCCACACGAATTTGTTGTTAGTGTACAGTCTGTCTCCTTTTTATTTTTCCAGCGGGGACTTTTTATTCACCACGACACCCTGCCAACCATCCCCTTCTCTAAGGAAAACCACCCCCAGACAGCCGAGCTTCCCAGCACACGGTGCAGTTACAACTGAGGCACCCCGGCCTCACACTCGACCCTCTCCCCGAGTCCGGCTGCGCGGCAGGGTGCTCCTCTGGGCGGGGCCCCCCGTGTGCTGGAGGGTGTGGGGTTGTCTGTCCTGGACGTCGGTACGTTTGTCTCGAAGGAACCAGGACTCGCCGTGCCGTGGGTGAAAGGGCCAGAGAAGGGCGCCCCCTGGCGGGATCCAACTCAGCTCAATCCAGCCCGGCCCCAAAACCGGCGTGAACCCACCCGAGCCCGCCAGCCCTCCAAGCGGACTCCCACTACACCCCCTCAATCTGGACATAACCGAGCTTCGGATCCACCGAGCACCCCACAGAATCTCTGCTTTCCCAAACCGCACACACGGTGTAGGGGATCCAGGGGCCCCTGTAGAAAAGGGTGGAGCCCCGCCCCGCCCCGCTGCCAGGGACCCCGAAGGCGGCAAACCCTCAGTACCCCGGCTGGGCCCAGAAATCCGCCCAGCCCGGATTTTCGCTCCTAATCCCAAATCCCCACCTGCCCCACCCCCCGCAAGGAGTGGCGGGGTGCACACACCCTCCCTCAGGGCGCAGCACTCGCCGAGACCCCCACCTTGTAACCACACCTGCCACCTTCCGCCATTCTCCTGGCGCCCCCCACTCACCCACCCAGAGCTCTCAGAGCCGACCGGCGCTGCACCTGTCCGCGGGGAAGCCCCAGCCTTCGGAGGATTCGGAGCAGGATTGGAGGCGAGCACGTCTCCCCTGCCCCCTCCGCAAGCCAGTTTAAGTAAAACTTGGTTCTAGGGCTTCCCCGAGACCGTCGTGGGATTCTCCTAATTCCAAACCCACCCCACCCACCGAGCCCCACAGTCTCCCCGGGGCAACGCGCGTGGAGTCTCTAAGTCTCTGGGCGCAGCGGCGGGACGCACTGAGTAAAAAGAAGGTGCGGAACGCCCTACCTTTTCAGCTGCAGCGGCCGGACCCCGCGCCAACTCCCAGCCGCGGGGGAAACTTTCCCCGGGCAGATCGGCGCGCTCGCAACTTGCTGGGCGCCTGCTGCCTTCCTGGCGGCGGCGTGTCCGCGACCCGCTGGCGCAAGGCGGCAGCTGCGCTCGCTCGGGGCTCGGGGCTCGGGGCTCGGGGCTCAGGGCCGGGGCTCGGGGCCGGGGCTCGGGCGGCCTCGCGCGGCTCCGGTGTGGATCGCTCCACGCTGCGTCCGCCCCGCAGCCTGGAGCCCCGGAGATGCCGGCGGCAGCTGCAGCCGTCCGCCCGCCCGCCGGCCCCACCTCCCAACCACCGCTCCGTCCCTCCCTCTCTCCCTTGCTCCCTCCCCTCCCCAAACCTCCTCCCCTTCAGTCTCCAGTCGCCGCCGCCGCTGCTGCCTTGGCGGCCGCCTTGAAGGCATGTCTGCTCCCGCGGGCTGCCCCTCGCCTCCTCCCTGCCTTGGTCTCTGCCTTCAGTTCAGCATCTATGCCTTTCTCTGGGGCGCACTGGGGCCAACGTCTGTCCTCCTCTTCCTTCGCCCCCTGCCTGCCTACCCCTTCTGCTTATGGGCCCACTTCCGTTGGGGAAGTGGGCAGCGTGGCACGCTGGACCTCTGGAGTACTTATTCCAGGGAAACTTTACGCTGCCTCCTGGGCCGACTGCAGGGCTGCGGGGGGTGGCGGGGGTGGCCCCTCCATCCGGATCTTCCTGCTTGGCTTCCCGATGCCCTGGGAATACCTGCCTAAAGCCAAGCATACCCACCCTCCCCGGGCTGCTATTAGATTGCGGCAGACAGCAGAGGCCACTGGAGGGGTGCAGCAGGGAGGGGCCTGACCCCAGCCCAGATGCTCAGGACTGGATTGCTAGAGGCCGGATCTGTGTCTCCAATCTCAGGGCTATCTTTTCATCTTTGTACTTCTGCCACAGCCTCACACCCCCTCCGCGGCCCCTGACACATGACTTCACCGAGACATTTAACCTCTGAACCTCCTCTGTAAAGCAGCTACCCTCTCCACTTGCCTCAGACAAAATGGGTAAGCAAGCAGATCAAAGCAGGCAGCCAGAGTGAAAGTGTTTACTAAACCCCAGATGAGAAGGGCTCATGTTGTCTGCTCCTCTTCCCCGGGCAGCACCTTTTTTTTTTTTTTTTTTTTTTTTTTGAGTCCCTTCTCTGAAGCTTTCTTACCCAGCGTTTGGTGGCCCTAGACGTTCAGGCACACACAGCCTCTGCAGGAGGGCCCTTGGTCAACTGATTAGCACTAAGAAGTGAGTGACTGATAGGAATTGAACCTATTCCAGTCTTGGATATGAATGTTGGTGATGTCAGGCCACAGAGCAGAGTTTCAAGGGGCAGGAAGTTGCTGTCTTTCTTTGCCCACTTCGAGGATGTCTAGTCCTTTCGGCCATTTTACTGAGTCACTGGGTAAATTGAGGAGGGGCTAACATAGTGGAGATGTAGCTGGGAGAAAACAAAAAAAGGGATCCGCAGTTTTTAAAGGGACCCAGAGTGAGCAATGCTTCACCCAAGGGGAAGAAATCTCTAATACTGCGAGTTCTGTAACACAAGGACAGGGAAAACACTAAGGGGCCTCAGGCTCTGCACTCAACCGTTCAGCTGCCAAAACAGGGTTGGGGGAGAGGCTGACCCTTTGAGCTGAGAAACCCCACAGGCCCTGCGTTTGTGGAATGCTGTTGGAAGAGGCTATCTGTGTGGGCCTCCTTGGACACAAGGCGCCACATAAATTTAAAGAGGAAAATAGCATGAGCTTACAGGAGGGTGCTGGGGCCTGGGAGGTGGAGACCAGAGACAACAGGAGGGAGGGATGGAGTTTCTGCGTGTCGGGGGATTGGTAGAAACATGCAGGAGGAAGTAGGGGGAGACGAGGACCCAACAGGCCAATCGGACATCCCAGACATCCAGCTGGGAATATAGCTCCTGTTCCAAGTCCGAGTTCCCCAGACCTCAGCCATTCCCTGGCCACCATCGAGCTTCTGGCCATATCTGCACGCCAGATAGAAGCATTTGCTTAACAGCTTTCTTTAAATCACCTCTTGTAGTGTTATTGTTTTACTTAAATGTGCTTGTTTTTACAAAGAAATGTTATATCATTCCCATAAATGGAAAACCAGCATCACATTACTATAAATAGAAGGTAACCATAAAAATGAATACAATGAAAATAAAAGTGTTATTAAATTCTAACAACGTCTATCTAACAACACTTTTTAAAAAATTCCAACAAGAGGCGACTGCCTAAGGATGGTGCTAAGCTGGGGCTCACTCTCTACTGAAAAGTAAGGTTAGCGGAGAGCGAGAAGGGTGTTAAAGACACGGCCACAAGCCGAGACTCCCACACAGTGATCAAAAGGATTGCAAGAGAACTGGAAAGGGACGCGCCACCCCCAACTCCTGGGGAGATCAGCCAGGGTTCTGAAGGACCATGGATGCATGACCTGAGGTCTCCTTGAAGACTGCTGACATCCTACAATTGGGAAACATGACTCTAAGTGTATTAGGCAAAAAGTCCTGTTTGTCAAAAGTTAGGGACTGTAAGAATTTAGTCCTGGACAAGAGAAGCTGATGCCTGTTGCAGAGAGCAGGCCTCCCTCATGCAGGGTGATCTTGGGGAAGTCACATCCCCTTCTCTGGCCTGTGCCTCCACCTGTACAATGAGAAGCACGGACAAATGGCCTCTAGGATCTCTTTTGCTATTCACTGATAAAAGCAAGAAAGGAACCAAGGTTGTGACCTGTTGGGAAACTGAGGAGAGGGGATGAGGAGGGGAGGGCCTGGGAAAGCGAACAGGGGCATGAACAGGGTCAGTAGGCCTCTGGAGGGAGCCAAGGCCGCACGGCTGACTGGTTGGAGTCTAGGTTGTCATAACTCTGGAAGTGGCCTGGCCCGCAAGTTTCCAGCTGCGCCAGCCCCCGCCCCCCCGTCATCTGCCCATTCTGGAATGAGCCTTCTGGACAGTTCATTGTAATCCAATCACCTCATTTTACAGGTAAAGAAACTGAGGAAGGAGTACAGACTGGATCCTAGTCATAGTCAGAGAGCTGGACATCAACCTGAGGACTTGTGACTCCCAGGCCACGGGCCTTTCAGCTCTCCTGGTGTTTGGGGGTCTGGTAGAAATGGTTCCTTTAGAAATTCTCCCTTTTCTTCCAAGGGGTTCTTAGACTCTGTTTTTTCGGGCACCTGGAAGAAACTTTGAATTGGCCTGAAAGCCCCAAACTTGCCAGGGGGTGGCCAGTGCTGAGCAGCCCAGGTGCTGTGCCCCAGGACAGTCCAGTCGTGAGCACCCACACACTGGCATCCTGGGGGTGCTAATGCAGAGCCAAGAGCCGCCCACCAGGGGTCCACGGGCCAGCATTCCTGTCCTGGCAACCTTGGCAGTTCCCTTCCCTCTCTGGGCCTCAGTGGCGCCATCCGTGAAATGAGACATTTGGTTTCAAGCTGGGCTGGCATTCCCTGCTTCCAGGCACCCAAGGACGGAGGAGAGGGAGGGAAACGTCCCTCCCAGCTTTAGCCAGACGTGGGTTACCTTTTCATCTGTTTTGTATGATGGTGCCTCACAGGTGATTTCAAGAAAGTGCCCTTTGCCTAAAAAGAATGTAAAGTCACTGGAAAGGATGACCTCTTGCTTCTATCATTTATAAGTTTATGTGAGCTTCTCAAGGATGTGAGCCCTGTCTTCTTCATCTCTGAGTCTCCAGACTCAGAATGGGGAGGAGAGTCGGGGGCCCCTTCCTAAATGTGCTACCTTGATCCAGCCACCCAAACCCTCTGATCCTTGGTCGATGCATATCTACAATAGGGGGCATAACTACACCTCTGGCACTGGGTGGCTGTGAGCATCTCCCAGAAAGCTTTCAGCACAGTCCCTGGCACACAGTAAATGCTCAATAAAGGTGAACCCGATCCAGGAACGGACGGTTGCATGACGCTAGACGGGCCAGATCTTTTCCCCAAGAGGCATCGTGACCTTACAACCTAACTTTTGCAAGGCAGTCTGCATTTTAAATGTTTAATCATTGCCTCCCTGATTTTTTTCTGAATTACCTCTTTTTATATGTAATTTGCAATCATGTCCCTCCATCAATGACGTTTCATTAAAATTACAACTGAGCGTGATTGAATTTGTCTTTGCAATGATCGTCATAAAAATAAATGTGCAAATCCTAAAACCATCTTGGGGGGTCTGAAGAATATGGTCTTGACCCTCCAAGGGCTGAACCAGTTGCAGGCATTCCCCCCTCATTCTCTCTTTTTTTTCCCTCCGAAGAGATACTTACAGGCCAGGCCAGCCTCTCTGCATGCTTTTAGCAAACGGCCCAAGGGCCTGCCTGCCAAGGTCCCCCTCCCCCTCCCCAGGAATGCTGCTGGCTGGCAGCTGGAACGGAGGGATGGTGCTCCCTCCCTCCCCGACCCTCTGAAGGAGGAGAGGTAGGTTCTGGGTGGCTATGCTGGGAGGGGCCCAGCGCCCCGCTTCCGCTGGGTGCTTGTAGCCTGGCTTTCCAGAAAGCAGAGTCCCTGGGGAATAGATGCTGCCAGATAAACTTCATCAAGCACCTTTATTTTCTGTATTTCAGTAAATTATACAATACTAAAAACTACCATTCATGAAGAGCTTATGTAGGTAGAAGCTCGGGTTGTCGGGTTAGACAAACGTCCATTCTAAGCCCGGCTCCTTTGTTTACCAGCTGAGTGGCTGTGGGGATGACTTCACCTCTCTGTGCTTTAGGCTCTGAACCTTCAGCGGTATTGCATATGCCAGGCACCGTGAGAAGGCCTTCAAAGCAGCAGCTCACTTAAACCTCCCAACAACTCTGCTAGGTAGGGATGGCTGGGAAGCGTGTTTCACGGAAAGAGCAGCTCAGAGAGACCTGCCTAAAGTCACTCAGCAAATAAAAAACTGAGGCTCAAACATTTCCGTTTTCACTTCCAGTAGGACCACATGCTCAGGAGAGAGGAAGAGATGGGTGGGCAGGGAAGAAAGAGGTCAGGAGTCCTGGGCCATCCTGGCGTTGAACATTCTGGCTCTGTGACCACGTGGCCTAACTTCTCTCAGCCTCTCTCCCCTTCTGTAAAAGGAGATGGGAACCGCTACCCTAAGGGCGCTTGTAAACATTGAGAGAGGTGATGCCTGCAAAAGGGCTTTGG